GTGTCATCAAAATCAGCTTGTGGGATACATTTCTATAGAGCACTGTGGAGAACCAAGTGACTCCAAAAAGGTTGAGGGGTGCAATTCATCAGCTCTCGGTACAGGTAACAGCCACCATACCCACTGTATAACAATAAAGGTTAAACTCAAACAAGTACATCCAAAAGCACACTATGGTGGGGTAAGCCTGCCTTCAAATTGTGAGACCATCTCCAATGAATGGGGGTCAAGGTGAGGTCCCCTGGGGCAGACTGCCACACCAGCAGTACGGTGGGTTACCCTTCTCGCATCAGTACCAGGCGGGCCGTGGAACGAGAGGGATCCTTAGTCTGATCCTGCCTGGCAGTTTCTGTGCAAAATGGGGCCAATTTGCTGGGAAGCTTCCCACCCCCACGGAGGGAAGAGGTGGGCCGAGAGTTTAACAAACATTTTGGTATTTGGAAGTCATTCCCAGCTCTCGTTTAACACACAGACTGCATTTCCCGTTGCTAACTGGCAGCAAAGAGCTCATCAACATTTAAATAAGAGGCTTGTTAATGCCAGCGTGAGGCAGGTTTGCATGCCAAGGCTGGCTAAGGTTTCGTGCCAAGGATTTTCTAAGAGAGAATTTCTCTAGGAAACTCCTTCAAAAGGAAAAATTCACTTCTGGTTAAAGAGAGTGAGGGCTTAATTTGAAGAGGTGTGGAGCTGGTTAAGTCAAATGGATGGTGCAAGAGCTGAAAGCTTGTGAAAATCAGACTTCAGCTTTTAAATCAATTAGCTGAAGAATGGCATGTGGTGTTTTGTAACTGATTATGCTTTCTGCAATGCAATAACTAAAAGGGAAAAAAAAAAAGGCTATGCGTAAGTGCCACTGACTTGCCCATTGATGTTAAATGTGTTAAGGTGAGGCTTTAAATGCACCTGTAACCTGAGTGTGGGAATATTATTTTCTACAACTGGTTAAAAGCACCTTAGTACAGGGAGGATCTGCAGTACTTGGCTCTGTTTCTAGATCTAAAATAAGTCCTATGAATTACAAACAATTCTTATGCTGGGACTGTGTTTTGAGCTTTCCATGTGGAGACTGAGCCCCCATCTCAGAGCCAGTAGAGAGGAAGGGTTCTGGCTCTGGCAAAGCTAGAGAGTCTTGTACTATATGCCTCTATAGCATAGTTTATTGCCTTTCCTTGTTCTGTCATAGAACAGGAGTAATGTCCATGGTGTCAGAATATGTGCATGGTAATTGGCTTTTGCTGTAATTAAATGCCTCAGTGCCAGCGTTTAATCAGCTGCCAAAGCCGTTTATTGCCTCATATGCTGCTGCACCATGAGCATTACCCCTTAATTAGTTGCTGAAATAGTGATGATTTAGCAGCATCTTTATATTTATACTTTAAGGCAGCAGATTCAGTCCAACATCAACAATATTGCAAGATAAAAAAGCTGCCCATTCTGCTATGCAGTGATTTGGACATACTTATTTTTCCTTACCTTGTGGAAAACAGTGTCAGCTCCCAGTGACACCTCAGTGGAGGTGCAGTTAGCACTCTGAAAGCGGTTGCTTTGTCTCTGCTCCTTTCCAGAACTGACCTGTATTTTAAGTGTATTCAGTATCAATAAAACACCGTCCCCAAAACCTCTCAGCAGTAAGGTAGATGTAGGCTTCCCTCACTGTGACTCACTTTTACGAGTGCCTGGAGCTGGTGCAGCGGACTAGAGAGGTCCCAGCCTTCATCCCAAAAGCGCCATGGGGAAGAGCTCTTCTGTGTCACAGGAGGAATCATACTTTGTCTTCCATGACTGTGGTAGGTTGTGACAGGTGACACTGACATCAGAAGCAATTCTCCTGACAGCCCCATTCAAACTCCTCTTCCCCCCTTTCCCTGCTTGTTTTTGAAGCAGAGGTGGTGCTGTGTTATGCAGCCACTTGCCATTTTGGGGGGAATAGAGTTGTGAAAGAGCCTGCTCATTGTGTCCATTTATTTTCTCCAATTTCAGCCATCTGAAAGCAAGAGGTCTGATCTATGCTTGTCTTTCAGAGCCCCTTGACAGATAATGGAGGTAGAGAGGAATCTCCAGAAAACAGCTCATCCTCACATAAAAAGTTGTCTAAAAGACATTGGAGGAATGACCCTTTGGACATATCCATCTTTCACAGAGGGAGCCCTGCAGCTTGCTTACATTGGATTATTTTCTCCCAAACTATTAGAAACAGAAGTGATGAACCCTGCCCAGAAAACCAATGCTGCCTGCTATGACAGGCACTGGGGACAGATTCTCCAGCTTTCCAAGATTCTTTACAGCTTTGAAAACCCCAGAGTAAGTTTACAAAGCCCCCAAAATCTTCTCAAAATTGACTTGAAAGGAAGTCATCCTTGCTCTGTAATAAAACTCCATTTGTGACGCAGAGATAGTCATACAGCAACTTAGCCTAGGTACATTCAAGATAAACACATAAACCCCAGCTTTGTTAAAAGCCATGTGGTTAAATCTACAGTAGCCGCAGTTGGAGATAGCCATTGCATCAGAACACAGCTGTACAACTGCTTCTTCATTTGACCAGAACGCCACCAACAGAGCAACCTGAGGGGCTGCCAAATAGCCTCCACAGCCTCCATCCTGCCCTAAACCACCAGTACAGAGAGCCTTGGCACCTGGGGTTTAGATACACTTCACTCCCAAAGATTTCATTGTCTTCAAAGGATTCTCGTTGCCTGTAATTGCAAGGAAAGGAGCGCCAAACTATCGAATTAATAGCTCCCCCACCCTTGGCCCTCGCCTCTGGCCCCTGGCCTGCTAATGTGTTTTGATGTGCAGGTGGACAACATATCCTTGGAACTTTTCCATTGTAACAAGTTTAGGAAAAAGTACCTTATGCTATAAAGGAAGTAATATCAAGTCTGGAAAACAATATAGCAGCTTGAATGGACTTGAAAGCCTACATCATCACACTCCCTTTACTGCCAAGACAAAACCTGTCAGACTCCTGTGTCCTGTAGGAAAAAGCTGCAGAGTTCATTCTTTCCTGAGGGAGAACACAGGCCCTTCCTAAAATTCCCTGGGAAAAGGGGGGAAGAGCTGGGATTGAACCTGTTGCTTATGCCTCTTTCCATGGCTATCAAAGCATCTCCTGACAATACGTAACCTACTAAAGAAGTCCCTCATGTTTACTTGAGGTGGGAAAAGAAGTACGAGATTCAGTTTGCAGCCAAGAATATTTAGTCTGGACAGTAGGAAAGACTGTCCAAGGGTAAAAACAATGCTGCCTAGGGAGGTTGTGGGATCTCCTTCTGAGGATGTCTTCAAGGGGACATTATATCAAATTCCATTGGTAGTGACAAATAAGGGATGGATTTAGCTGTACTGCATGCCTTTGAATCTTTCTACAACTCTGTGTAAAACAGTTTTAAGAAAACTACTTTTGATGATATGGAGGACAGTGTTCATCTCATTTAACCCTTAAAGATACACAGAATCATAGAACAGTTAAGAGTTGGAAAGGACCTTATGATCATCTAGTTCCAACATCCCTGGTATGGGCAGGGACACCTTCCACTACACCATGTCACCCAAGACTCCGTCCAGCCTGGCCTTGGACACTGCCAGGGAATATTGCTAGCACCCACATGGACCACAAGAAGTGCATAATAGTTAGCGGAACTTACTAGGCCAGGCAGCCTCTCAACAACATACCTGATCCGAGCCCCCAGTAGGCAAAACACCTCCCTCGAGACTGGGTCAGGCCGACAGGTGGGTGCCTCTGTGCCTTTCAAAGTAGAATCACCTACCACTTTGACCTGCCGCTTTCTCCTGGAGCACTAGCAGTGATCCTCTTTACTGGCGCATCAGCAGGATGTTCATTTGGCAAGGTTTGTGTTTCCTCGTTAGCCCCCTGAAAAAGCTGCAAAGCGGTTCTGGGTGGGGATGTCAGATTTTGGAAGAAGCCCCTTGCTTTTAATTGTCCTCTTCCTCCTTTTTTTTTTTTTTCTTTTTTTTTGTTACTAGCTCCCAGCTGCCTGGATTAATGCTCTAGTGTTGAACGCATCCTCTCTGGAGCTACTTACCTCGGCAAATCAAACAAAACAAGCCTCTCTCAGATGCTCACCTAAATATGACAGAACTAGAGGGCCACCTTGGACAACAAAGCTGTCTTCCAGGCTGTTCAGTTCATTGAGATGAATCCCATCTTGAAGACAACCTGTGCAGCTCTGCACACATTTCTGACAGCAAAGGACTTTTAATAGAAAGGTCTAAGGATAGAGAGGGTAGAAAAACAGAGGCTATTAAGCAGGGTCAGATATTTAGCAGGTAAGAAATGGTAACTGTAAAAGATTACCAGGATACACTGGATTCCCCACCACTTGAAGCTTTTCAGTCAGAGAAGGTGTTTGGTGAGGGTTCGGTGCTGTGCCAGCTTCTCTGACTGGAGAGGTGAAGGTCAGGCTGTGTGGTGGTCAGTGGTATTTTTGAAGCAGATTGGACTGACAGAAACAATCCTGATTATTTATTGCAATGACAGCCTAAAACCAACTTCCTAGAAGAGATGGGCTTTGCAAACCACACTTCTCTGTACTCTCCCCGTAACAGTCTGAATAATGTTCCTCCTTTCAGCTGCAAAGCAAGGTGCTTGGCTCTGCTGTCACGTGGTCACAACTCAAATTTGAGAATACTTGCGGGCAACCTCCAGGTATAACCCACCTCTGCACATCACCTCATGGTTTTAAGGATGGAGGTCTCTCTCCTGCAAAGGCGCACATTTTTAAGAACAGCACAAAATTCATGAAGAGATGGCCAGTACAAGCAGGCATATCCTCTCTCCTGTGCCATATTTCTACCATCCTTGCTTCACCCAACAGTGAAGGAGGTTCTTGAATTAAGTATGTTGAGGAGCCACATAGTGAAATTTTGAACCTGGGAGAGAGAGATGGAGGATATGAAGTACAGTTGCAGGTGGAGGTTGGGAGAAAGTAAATACCATTCAACTAAAAAAAATAATTTCACACGCTAGCAAACAAAAATGAAATTTATATGGAGTTTATTGGATTGGTAAAATGTAATAAAAAAGCATTTGTGATACTTCTTCTGCAAAGAAAAAAGGCATCTGGCGATTTTGCATATTTATTTTCCCTTACAAAACATTAGAAAAGCATAACTGAAAAAGGATAACAGCTGAAAGAGTAGAGCAAAGAGGAAAATACATCTCAATATAATTGGATAATGCGTAATAAAAATACAGAAAACACATGCTTAAAACAGCTTTCATTCTCTTACTGTAAAAAGTCATTTTATGTGTTGAATAAAAAATATATGCCGGTTGCTCTGAAAATTGTAGTTTAGAAGAGGTAACTAGCTGAGAACAAAATATATATCTCTATATATATTTATAAATATAGAAAATGTGTATATGCTGCATCTGTCCTCAGAATAAAGTGGAATAAATGGTTTTCAACTCATGCACACAAGTTACCAGAGGAAAAAAAAACTTCATATTTTACTCAGCGGACTGATCCCATAAGGTGCTGATTGCATTTCCTGAGTGCCCTCAAAGCCCGACAGAAGTAGTCAGTACGGAGACAAGCGGCCTGATGGGCTCAGTGACAAGCCAGGCTATTCAGCAGCTCACCAGAGGTGCATTCAGCAACTCGCAGGATTTGGAAAAACTCCATTGGCAGCAGGATTGGGCCCCTCACAGACTTGGGTAGTTCTTGTGCCCAGCAAGGGGTAAAACTCTGGTATCCCCAAGCTCTGACAGATAGGAGACCAGTACTAAAAGCTCAAGTAATGTTACTTCATTAGGATCTGAGAGCATGGATTGTGCAGCAGAAGGCATGCCTCGTGTAAGGAATGCCTCCTTGTGCCCCTTTCTTGCCCAGATACCAAGGCAAGTGATTCACATTTAAAAGGAAGAGGCTTCCCATGTCACCGAGAGCCTCTGTCTGCTGGTGCAGGGCAAGGAGAAGCGTGGACAGTCACGCTCCCTCCCAACCGCAACAAAGGCAACAATGGAAACCTTCTCTTATCTCAAGAGCTAAACCAACAGCTACCATAAAACTGAAATACCACCTCAAACCCAGCCTAGTCATGTGCAGTGAATTACTGCACATCCAATAAACAATCACCGGTGAACCCAGAGCAGACAGATCTACAGCTGGCAGGGACAGGCCAAAGCATAGCAGCTACATAGGACAAATACATTCTTGGGCGCACTCCCTCCTTGCAGTTTCAAAGAGCTAAGCCAATCTCCCAGTCCTAGGGGGGTTCACCACGGGCATTTAGCAAATAGTAATCGTTATGGAATGACCCGTGTGTGATTCAGACCCCATTAATTACATCAGGCCACAAGTGAAGCTAGTGTTAGAGATTAAGCTCTAAAGTACAACAAACTTCTGCTCTTTGTTCTGAGTGGGAAAGAGCCCTTACCGAAACTGCAGAATAAGAACTCCTACTCAACCATTTGACTAACCGGAGGGAAGGCAGTGGAGGAAGCCCTCCAGTCTCTCTGACAGTTCAAAACACAAGCCATGGCATAGGAAACTAGGACCGTGAAGGAAGCTGAAGTCTCACCAAGGCAGATCCTGTCTAGCAAGATCATGAGAAAGTCCAAGCATACCTTTGCTTTGCCCATACCTCTGCCAATACTCAGTCCTTACTCTCCAGAGGTAACAGCAGAGATCACAGTGGTGCAGTACTGAGCATTAAAACATCAAACCTCTACGTTTGCTGCATTTCCAATAAATCTTGCATTTCCTCTCTGACCACAGCAGGAAAAAGTTTCCTAAAACATGATTTTTGAGGATTGAAAGTGAGAGCACATTAGCCTTTTTAATAGAGTAGCACCAATGAAACATCCAGGCTTTGGTTAACCTTCAGATTTTCTCCTCTAACTTTATATAAAAAATGAGTAACAGAACTTATAAGAAATAATATTAAGTGAATAAAGTCTTCATATATGAATGACTTTGTACTTCTGGTAAGATAGACACTTGAGGGGATATACCCAAGTACCTCCACTACTGAGCAGTTGACTACCAGACAATGAGGTGGTTTAAGCAAGATGACAAGCAGTGCTGATGGGATAAGCCATTGCTTTGCTTATCTCAGTGGAGAACAGATGCTTAAAATTAACCTCTTGCTTCTCTTCTACAACATTCTCATAGTTCCTACCACTGCTTGGCACTAACACTATTTCTTTGCTGCCCATAAAGGAGCACCGCAGGTCTCTGAAAAGGCACATAGTGAAGAAAGTGGAATACCACTTCTATAAAGGCAGTTCTGTTAATAGCCTACTCTTCACCTTGCTGGCTGCTCTGAGATGCTTGTCAGGTGCTTAGCTACTTAGGCATTAGGCACACTGGAAATACTACTTTTTAGGTGGATAAAGCAAAGAACAAATCAGGTTCAGGTAACAAGGCAAAAAATGTCCATTTGCCAAACCAAAATGGGTTTCCAACCCATACTGAACTGTCAGTAAAGCACTGGCAGATGTAAGGAAAGTGCCCCAGTTCTGTGTTTTCAATGGGTACCATCTCAACATAGTTGAAACGAAAACCACAACCTCCAGCTGTGCATTTCAGTGTGAACTGCTCTTATATCATACAGCCTTGAATGAAACATTAGCACAAAGGTAGCCTAATTGGATCTTCTCCTCCCTCCCTGCAAATCCTAATCATTGCACACAATCCCGTAGCTAATGGCAGAAAGAAAACACTCGTTTCTGGCAAAATACTTGAACTAGGAAGACAGGATCAAACCCTAGTCTGGACACAAACTCACCACAGGGAACAGCTCTCACTACAGAGAGGATGAATTGGACCTTGCTTCATTAGCAGGCCTTCCTTGCTCCCATGTCACAGCAGTGTGGCAAGCTGCAGATGGAGCAAACATTTGCAGAGGAGGTGCTGGTCTCTGGCAACACTTCAGAGGGTGGCATTTTTTTCTCCTTGGCCACCACCAAGGAAGACAATAAAAGCAACAAGAAAATATACTGAATGGACATTCAAAAATTCAAATTTCAAATTCAAAGATTTCAGAATCTGGTTTGAAATTTGAGCACTTTCCCAAACAAAGGCATTCCTCCCATCTAGAATGTGTATTTGGAAAACCTCTCAATACCAGAACTAGAAAATATTCTGATTGCATTTGCTGGTTCTAAACTCTAGGTTATCTTTCCTAGACAGGGCTCCTAATACTCTTTTAATTCAGTGCTCCATACCTAAATGGTTCCATACCATATAGGGACCAAAACAAGACTAGGACACAGCAAAAGATGAGCAAAAATAATGACACCATAGAAAGCACATGGTCCTGACTATCAGAAATGCTGAATAAGCAAAGGTTCTATGGAACTAAATAAGCACAAGACATAGGAACAGTAATTAAAAAAAAAAAAAAATCAGAGCAATTATGTCCTTTATTTTTTGCCCTTTACTATTTTCACCTCTCTGTTCTCACAGATGAAGTGGGGCAGGCCAGTTTTTTTTCCTGTTCAAGTAGGCTTTGCTCTCTGGGCTGTCACACTCCTGGCACAGACCTGTGGAGACAGGACTTCCCGCACTTCAGGGGAATGCTGAAGTGGGGCTATTTTTTAAACATCAAACTATTCCTGTTCACTGTACACTCTGCTTCCAAAGATAAAAAAAAAGCATCTGAGTCTTTAAACAAGCGGACAGACCCTTTAAAGTTTCATAACAATGTTTTAAACCTGGGGTAGGAAGGATGGGAACATGAATACATTTTCCTGCTTATGGTAAATAATGAAACCCATGTTTCTGGATATGAAATGCTGGGTAATAGCAAATGAGAGGTCTGTTGCTGAGCCCGTTCTGCCAGCCAGCCCCTGTGAGAAAAAGTGAGAAAGGGGTTGCTGGCTTTTCCTTGCACTGATTAACTTAAAACGAAAGGAGGGGCAATACACGGGAAGGAAGAGGGTAGACATGTACATGGCATGGAAATGACTTGCCTGGAGCAACCACAGTAGCAGGCACATACAACCTGTCTCCTTATTCCCTTAGCCCTGTTCCCAAAACTAGTTTGGGGATGAACTGGGGGAAGGGAAGGAGGGAGCAGCAATTTGAACACGGCAGATGCTCCAGTTTAAGCCATATCTTCCCAAAGAGGAACTGAGGGTGGGGGCAGGGGAGATGGCTATTATTAATGTCCTTCCGTATATAGCAAAGCAGACATCCTGCATAATGGTACACAATACATCAATAATAGCCCAAGAATAGCTTCCTACCATTTTTTTTTCCCCCTGACAGTTAGAAACATAAAGAGAAAAATCAAGCTGCTGAGATAAATAGCTGAGTCTCCACCCCCACCTCAAATTGCCTTGGCATATTTTAAGAGATAAATGGTTCTATGAGAAATTTAAATAGCTTTCTCTTTTCTTTTTTGGCAGCTGCAGGAACTGGGTCAGGTGTAGAAATTATTAATTTCAAAGCCTGAAAAAAACATCCTTGAAACTAAGGGTTTTCTTCCTTTAAAGAATCAACTTTCTTAGAAGTATAGTTAGAAAAAAATTCAAAAATAATTGAGGTTTTTTTTTTTTGAGAAGTCAGACCAAAAATAATTAAATAACAGTGCAAGATGCAGAAAAGGGACAATTTGCATGACAGTTTAATGGATATTAGAAGTATACATAATGGACTGTTAGTATTTCATTGCATAGAGTATAGTGTTTGCACAATGGCTTTTGTTTCTCTTGATCAAACATAGCACTGAGAGTATGCCTTGAAGAAAAAGACCGTGGGGCACCATTCTGTACTTTCACCCTAACTTCCGAAGAGACGAGATTACTGTCAAGGTGACCAGCACCAAACACTTTCACAAGGTGCCCATTTACTTATTACCAGGTCTCAAGATTGACACCCTGGTGAGACGATCTGCTTAAGGCTGTGCTTGCTGGTGTGCAGAGCTGGTGAACCTGGTACTGAACCACATGTAAATCACTGCCTTCTCCTTTCCACTCAAGTTACCCTTGCTTTACACACCAGTACTAGGATTTCTGGCCCAGCTTTTCTGCATGATGCCAAAAGCCATCTCCCTCCTCATGCCATATGTGGAAGGAATCTCTTTGCAACCATAAACTGCTGAATCTTACAGAAAAGAAAAATCAAATCCTCCAGAAACTCCTGTGAACAAAGAAATGCTGATACATAAACTCCCTCACAGGATAGTACATTAGTTAAGACCTGTAAAAGGTTCAAATTTCCAGTCCTACAAAGACTCCAAGATCTTGAAAGATACCCAGCTGGCATGCAGCCCGCTCCCTCCACTGCACAGCTGGTAAACCCCCCCATGTTCCTTGTGCTCTGTTCCATGTCCTAAATCAGGTGGATACCTGAGAAGAAGGACTCCCTCGTTTAGACTCTCTGTACCTCCGCAGGGCTCATGCCTTGTGCTCTACTTCCCTTAGTGACTGATCAAAAATTTAGAAGATGACAAAGACACAGATGTAAACAGAACTGTGGTGCCTAGAAAGTCAGAGCACAGATAGGATCAGAAGACAGACTGTAATTACAGGCCCTGCTACTTATTACATAGGCTAGTTGGGCCACATGAGCCTTCAGTGGAAACTTCCTGTGTAATTAATAAAGGAGAAACAGAATACTTTTGCAATCACTTTTCTAGCTTTCACTGTGGGGGTCCAATCCTGCCATCCTGGATTAGCGCTAATCACAGACAATCTTTCTCTGCATAAACTGAAGGCATCTGTTCTGTAAGACTGGAAAAAAAAACAAAAAAAAAGAAGAAGAAAAAAAAAAGGATAAAACCCTCATTGCAAACCTACACCATGCAATCAAGAAGGAGAGGAAATTGATCCTGAAAACTCCCACTCAGATCGTAATCTGACAATGTTTTCAAGGCATCTGGCAAAAAGGAAGAAGAAAGAAGAATGCTATGAAATATTTAAAATCCTACTTCTGTCAGGAATCCATGAGAGGGGAAAGGTGTGTTTGAAAGGGCTGCATTATTTGTAAGCCAAAACCTGAAAGTACCACCTTTTGCACAGGAGCATGGGATGCCCTTGGCCCAAGCCAGAGGAGTCCTGAGAACAAGCACCAGGTGCCAATTCAACAGAGACTGGCATGACAAAGTCAAGGCTGTGTATGAGCAGGAACAAAGAAGCTGTCCTGCACACCATGGTGTGTACCATGGGAAATCAAGGGTAAGGCAAACGAGAGAGCTAATGTTACAGTAAAACAGCTATGTGTTTGCAGCCCATAACTGATCCTCTTTATCTAAAGCCCTTGTCAGGTTTTCAACAGCATGGGTAACAGGACACACCCAAACAAGGGCTTTCCTAATAACAGTTCTCTTACTGCTGAGACTCTTACCAAAAAGGGACATCCAAGGAAGGGAAAATTGCCCTCTGAGACCTGAGATGCACTAAAGGTCACATTGCTTTGCTCCTGCACCCAGGAGCTTGTCCTCTCCATTCTTACATCCCCACTGGTGTGGAGAACCTTTGCAGAAAGATCTCAGCCAGGCCTCACCACTGGGGTGATCCCAAACTGCATCACAGAGGGAAGCTGGACATACCCAGCTGCCATAAAAGGGGGAGCAATCAAGCAGACATTCAGGAGTTAATGATGCTCAGCTGTGCCTCTGCCTTGGTCACAACCATCTGCTTGCTATACAGTTCCAGTAGAAGATATAAAAGACTGCAGGACAAGCACTGGGCATACAAATGGGATCAAAATGGTCCTGAAATGCAGAAACAAAGGACACTTTGGAACAAAACTGGCACAGCCACAATCCCCACAACGGTTGCGTAAGATATAAAGAAAGAATCCTTAGAATGTATTTATCAAAAGCCATTTTATGCAGATTTTTCCTTCTGAATATTTAAAGCATGGTGAATATTAAACTTCAGAGATTCTTAATGTGTTCCAAAGCCCCACGGACCTTTGAAATGCTAGCTCATCAATATGCAACATCTAATCTTGTGCAAAAAAAAAAAGAGGACGGGAGGGGAGAAAACCTATTCATCCTGTACACATAGGGGTTACGGTGAGAATCCCAAGGAAAAAAAAACTTCCAGCATCTTATGCAATAGGTTAAATTTACTCTGGTTGGGAAAGTTTCACTTTCTGTAAGAGAGAAAGTGCCTGTACATGCATTGCTGCTGGAAGCTTCTGAAGTGTGAGGCTGAAACTGTGTAGCTGGATTACAGTAAGTAGTTTATTAAAAAAACCCAAGGCTTGCGGCTTTGCATCCTGTTCCAGCCCAATGTAGTCTCAGGATCCCCTCTCCAAAGGCCAGCAGACAGTGCGCCACCTAAAAATCCATTCTAGTCCAAAATGCTGTGGTTGAAATGGCTTTGCTTGTTTATAAAGTTTAGTGTTTCGTATCGCTTGCATCTGACCTTCAGCAGAAATAAAAGCTCAGTTAAACTGTGCAAATATGTACCAAATGGGAGCAAGGGAAAGCAGCCAAAAATGCTGCATGAGCTTTTGCAGGGTTGCAGCCTTTTAGGAGCACCAGTGAGATGAACTGGATGAGAGGCCAAATTGATTTAGGCTCCAGGCAGGAGCTTAAAACACCATGACATCCAAATTCACAAAGAAAATATTCTGTTACTGCAACCCCAAATTTCCTGCACATGAAAACACTGTTTTCTTTCATCTTTAGGAGATGCTTGTTCTCTAATCCGACATTTAAAAATGAACAAACAAACAGGAGTCAGCTGACAAAGGATTCTTGCTGGTGAATGGAAGTAGGTCACTGAGTATTTTGCCTTTTCAGTTTGGCTTAATATTAGTGTTGTACACAGAACAGTAACAAAACTGCACTGGAGACAGGGAAAGACTCTAATTTTGTCTTTTCTATGAAAATTAGCATTAACATTCTGAATTAATGTGAAATGCCGCCACAGTACCCAATATCTGGTTAATTAAAAAAAAACAACAAAACAACAACCACTAAAGCAAGCAACACACTAAATTAAACAACAAAAAACCTTTACTGGTCAGCCTGCATTTAAAGACATCTAAGTATGGGCAGAGAGGAATTTTCCTGAAGGAACTTAAAAGAAAATGAAAGCTCCACATACAAGACCAAATAAGATCTTCTGTCTCTCACGAATGCAAATTCTGGCTGCCCTTTTACACAAACATATTAAAGGAATAAAACTGGAGGAAAAAAAAATAAAAGGGGTAAAACTAATAAATTCGGTTTTGGAGAAAAAAAAAAAATTAAAACCAAACAAACTATCCTTCAAACCAATTTCTTCATGATAAATCCCTGCAATCATGTGGTTCTAAATTACATGGTTAAATATGACTGAAAAAGTAAGGCACAATTTCATAATCGTTTTAAAAGCAATAATTATAATCATTTTCTTTGCTATCCATGTGGCAGGCCACTGATACTATGGATGTACAAAACTACTTGATTAAAGATCTGGAAAAGTTTTTCCAACTCCTGGCTGAGATTCACAAGACCGCTGTTAAGTAAGGAACATACCATCTTCAGTGCAAAGACAACTGACTGCATGTTGAGCAAATGGAAAAAGGGGGAACAAGAGCTAGTTGCGGACAAAAGGAGGCAGAGGCAATAAAGTAGAGACACTCCAACTGCCATGTTCCCCATGGGGGACTCTAAACCCTGGAAAAGTAAAGGTAATGCCACCACCTGGGGCTTCTGTTTCCTTCCTCATTTTCTAAAATATCTCAATGTGATGAGAAATGTGGACAAACAGCAAAATTAAAACACAAGTGTGAACTGAATACTCTTGATGCCAGTGATCAACCCCACTGCTTCCACATGTATCATGAAGCCAAAGGGAGAAGGAATGAAGCCCAGTGGGGTATACACAGCAGTGCTCAGTATCACAGCCTGTATTCCCACACAGTTGTGATCTCACAAGCACCTTGTGTGTGCATGTGAGTGTATGTGCCACAGTGGTCTGCAAGTGTTTGAGCTTTTTTTCAGATCAGAGAATTTCAGGCTGAAATGAGAGCTGTTCCACAGTATCCACGAGGAAACCTATCAAAGTTATGGGTTTTCTCTTAGATTTTTAGGTGCTGGGTGAATGTTGTAATTTCACAAGTCTACACTCTCTCATTGCTCAAATGCCAGCTGGGCAATTGACTGTTGAAAATTCAAACGTGAAATGCTGAGGAAGCCAGGTAGTATTTCTAGAAATGTGACAAGTCCAGAAGGGTATGTGGAGAGGAAGGTCAATCAGTATCTCTTGATCCTCACAGCAGTTGCCATAATGTGCTTATATTCTTCAGTAATTTCAGAGGGGAGAAACGTGAAGGCAGAAATTGCAATTGCCACAGAAAATGACCCTGGCACTCCCCATAGCCAGCCAATCTATGGCTTTCAGGTGGGCAAGAAAACTGAACCCAATAGAAATAACACTGTTATTTTCAGAAGAGTCATATTATTCAGATTTTTCTAACAAAAAGCCCACTGCCTTCAAAATTAGCAAAACTCATTAAAAATAGGGAAAAAAGATTTTGTTAAAAGCTTCAAGGTTGTTGTGTTGTGTTTTTTTTATTTCGCTAGGTGCAATATTGAACCATTTCCCAAGAATACATGCGGTTGTTTTTAAATAGAATTTTTATCCAAAGAAATTTTCAAAATTGTCACAGGAACTTTAATTTACCAGCAGAAGAAACTACAAAATAAGACATGAGAAAGAAGACATGTTTTTTCTGAGAAATGAAAATATTTGTTAACAATTCTGAATTCTTTTAGATAAAAATTCAATATGGTTTTAATTGTAATAGTAACCCCTTCCTTCCCCCAAGCCAAACCAAAACTTGTTTTGAATAACATTTTGAAATGAGAGAATTTCTTATTAAAAAAAATGGCCCTTCTGACATCACAAAATTTAGCGTAAAAATTGTAACCAGCTCTACCTGGAAATAGTGTTCTCGCAGCTCACTCTTAGTTTGCACTGTACTAACCTGTAGACAGTACTAAGTATTCCTGCTATCTTTTGACAACAAGCCCTCAATTACCATCACTAGTGTTTTCTCATGGGAATTGCAGCACAGTGAGTGTCTTCAGCACATCTCTCTCTGACAGCCCTGACTTACAGTACTGAAGTTTATACAAGGTGTAGTCAACCTAATTCAATGAACAAATAGCGAATCAACATGATGAATCAACTGCAGGAACTAGATATCAAAAGGAAACAATTATAAACTCAAATCCTTTCTGAGCCATTCAGCTAAAGCACCAGGTGTCTAGCATTTATCTCTGATGCTGAAGGAAAGCAAAGACAGGATTTCTCTCAAGGACCATCTCTTGGGTCCTGTTATCGCTTGTTTGCTGGGTTTTCTCAAAATCAAAAGGAACTAGCATTTATCAAACCTATAGTAGGCTTGGATGACCACGGACAGGCAGCAAATGCAGCAGGCCCAAAGAGCTTTCAGTATGGCTTGTTGCATATTCTCTTCAACAATCACTATTTCTCTAAAAGACACTTTTTTTCTCATTCTTATCAGGCACATTTTGCTGATAGGCAGAAAATGAATTTAAGGCCTGTGTCTCATGAAAGTCTTGCTCCTGCTGTCAGGATGAACTGTATTATGTAGAGTTCACTATGATAAACACTTTGGTACTCCCACACCTCTATGATTAAGTCATTACCCAAGTGTTTCGCAGCCGTGACAAAAATCTAAGAATTAAAATATTAAAAAAACTCCACCAAAACAGAATTAAGGGTGCATTATCTGATAGACTAAGGCAATGAGTGTGGCTTTCTGTTTTTAAAAGCAATGTTCAGGCTGTGATTAAACTAAGTGACAATAAAACCATCATATTCACAAAATATTATTAGCCTTGGGGATATGCTTAAGGATTGGGTGGTAACCAAGGCAACCCAATCTTCTGGAGAAAGTTTAAGTAGACAGTTTTAAAGCCATGGTTCAAAGATCCAGTAAATCTGGCTGTAGGGCTACTTGTGACAACTGGAAAGTGCCACAGCCACCGAACACAAAGCATTGATCTTGTAATAATTCCTGTTGTCCAGATGTTACATTGGATCAGCTACCATGTGCCCTCCTGAAGTTGGCGTAAGAGTGACACAGAAGCCATTTCATGCAGTTTGGGTAATTTGACAGAAATTTGACTGTGCCTACATCCTACCAAGGTCAAATATGTCTGACTGGGTGATACAGAATCAGTCTGGTATTAATGGCTGTAGACCCATGGCTCATGTCACACCATGCAATGGCTTTAAGCCTGTGCTTAAACAAACACCAGGGACTTAAATATTTTGCTAAATTAGAACCTGATCCTGGACACTTCTGGGGCCCGTTTGGCCACACAAATCATGGGATCAGGCTCTACTTGCCCATAAATGCTAGACAAAGTCAAAGCAGCATGAGCAAAACCTGCAGACTTGAACAGAAATGTCTGTGTGATCTTCCAATTCTTTCTGAAAGGAACACTTCAGACATTACTACAGCCACAGATGATGAGAATTTTTATCATGGCTAAGAAGTTCACCTTAGTGAAGTAAGGTCTCTTTGGCAAAAAGACTCCTTCTTTGGAAAAGATAAAAGAGGATATATTATAAATACATGACAATTATTGTGATGAAGAAATATCCCAGTGGTTCTTAATTGCAGTGCAATTGAGATAAGTCCACCAACATTTCCTAATTAAATCCTGAAGCATCAGAGGGGAGTTTTCCACACACATGTGGGTGGTGAGAGCCTCTGCGATGTACATACATTTATGCAATATCTTCCGAATATATTTATAACAATTTTAGAAGCCAAAACCACATGCACTACAGAAAATAAAGAGGAGTGTTTTGGACACTCCCTCCATCCAACAGGCAGATGGCTTTGGTGTTTCAGGGGTGAAAACAAAAGCACGATTATACCTTTGCCCAGATCCGTCAGGTCTAGAAATTAGCCGCAGTACCTCAAATATCAACACTGCTCAATCTTCGTCAAGCATCTTCCATCCATGAAGTATTTAATGCTTGAAAAATCTGGCTCTCACCTCCCTGCATGCCAGCCCAACTCACCTCAGCACCCTAATAATAGAGGATTCAGATCTAGATCTCCTGGCTAGCCCTTAGCTTTGAAATGGGCTGGAATCCCAAACCTACATACCAGCAAAGTTTTCTGGAAAGACAAGACAGAACTCCAAAAAATCAGTAGTTTGGGCCAATCTGTGATTAATTCCCATAACATCCCTGGGAAGTTGGAAAGAAGCCCTCTCATGCAGAGGGCAGAAGACAAGAAGCCATATGACTTGCTCCTCCTAAGGCAGGGCCATAAAAAGCCCTGAGGCTCTGGACTTTGGTCTTCCTTAGTCTCAACCACATTCTGCAGGAAGGCACAATAGCTTGTTTCCGTCAACTACTCCAGTGTTATTCAGGAGAGTCTCATCAGCCACTTGATTTAACACTAACAAGAGTAAGGAAGATCAGATCTACATTTGCTGCCTGATGAATAACTTATTCTGCACCAAAGAGCATCACGTCATACCCTGTGCTTGCAGAGATGAAAAATCCTCCCCGGGGATATATAATGGTGTTAGCAATCCCATCTCTGACCTCCCATGGTTTTGTATGGTTAGTTAACACTGGGTTTGCTCAATAGTTGTGAGGTTTTTTTGATGGGTGTTGGTGCAGACTGCACATAAAGAAAGAAGTGAGCTCAGAAGTCCCTTACGTGCCATGGTTCAGGGAGCAGGAACCCAGATGGAACCTGGCAGGAGTCATGGTGCAAAAAAATTTGTTTACGTCTGAAGCAGTAAAACTGTTGAAGGCCACGCAGAAATGTAGTATAAAAAGGCAAAACTGCTTCAGCACAGCCACTGTGTTAGAAAACGATTTCTTTTTCTTAATGATGCCACCCTTCTACAAAGAAGGATTCATTCTGAGCTGGGAATTTTGGGAAACTTCCCTGACACTGGTGGAGTCTGCCAACATATAAACCATGTAAGGAGCAGAGGATTCAGGCTGGTATTTCTGTATTTGAATTTACTGTATACAGCTAAAGCTATTAAATTTCACAGTGCTCTAACATAAAGGTTAGTACTAAACTGAAAGGAAATGCACCATTTGCATGAGCTGCAGTGAGTACCTGAATTTTTCCCTTTGTTTCCAATCGGTCTGGCTCATCTAACTTTTCAGCATTGGTGAGTATAATCGCATAAGGCTTCTGTTATAGACAGCAAAGATAAAAGCACCACATTCTTATTGTTTTTCAGTGGATGCATGAAAAAACTTATAACTTACTCTTGAAAAGTGCCAGTTTGTCACCTATATGGTCAATCAGCCTGAAACTGTTTCAGTTCTGCTTCTTGATTTAAGTGCAAAGAAAGGTATTTTCTTTGATTACATCTGCAAATAAGATTTTAATGTCAATTCAGTGATATGAAAATTACTCCCTCACTATGTAATTTGCACCTTAGTTATTATGGGTTTCATGAACAAGAATATTATAGCTGCTCAGAGTGCCGTGGATTTCTAATTTTTTTTAATTAAAAAAACAACCCCTCCAAAAAAACAACCACCCCAAAACCACCACCAACCCAACATGAGAAAAAAAGATTATGTGCGCCCAGCTTTACCTTGACTTATGTATTAATTCTGAAGATGAAAATGCTGCTGCTGGCCCAGCACGCTAATGCAATGACATCTCACCAGAGAGAAGTTACAAGTGGCTGGGAGGAAAATGAAAGAGGATAAAAAAAAGCTTGCTTTTCGGAATGGCATAGAGAAGGTTTTAATACCTTCTTGAGCCTTTGTAACATAAAAACTAAACAACAGCATGTATTTAGGAGAATCTTTTTGTTGTTGAAGTAAGATTCTTATTTTTTTTATAAGAACTCTAGATCATCTGTGTTAACATCAGAGAAATGTATATTCCAAGGCCTGATTCAATACCTGTTACAGTTGAAGGAAAATCTTCCCATTGCAATAAACAGGAGATGGAACAAGACTGTTGCTTAAATGTCTACCTAGAAACCAACACCACCAGTGGCCCCACTAGAATGGGGTGTGAGAGTGGCTGAAGATTTTTTTGAGCAAGGCTTTGCACTGCAGTTCTATGTAGTCTTTTTTGGGGTTTGTGTTGGTTTTTTTTTTAAACCACTGGGAATTTAAAAATGTGTTTACACTCCACATCCTTAAAACACTTTCTTAACAGACATGATTGGCTTCCACCTCTGGTAAATTAAAAGCACATGGGGGGGTGTATGTGTGTGGTGTGTGTGTGTGGTGTGTAGTGTGTGCAAGCTCACTTCTTTCTGTGATTGCTCATTCATAATGAATTGGAAGCATCATTACTGGATAAATTTATGCAATAGTAAAATATAATTTCATAAGAAAAAGAAAAAATCCTATGAAACTGGAAGGGAATGGAGACAAGTAAGGGCCTAAGAAAACAGATATAGGTAACAAATCTGTGTTCAAAGAATACAAGGTCACACCTGCACTCTTAGGTGCAGTACATTGAAGTTCCATTGTTTGTGTTGTGATGAGAGGAGTGCCAAGTTTGCTCTCGCATCTTCTAGGGCACAGGAGCTACTTCACTGGTGACCCAGATCCTATTAAAGTCAACCTGTGAATTCAATGACAGCTAGTCAAGTTCTCAAATAACTTGGAAGAATGAACTAGCTCAGCCATTTTTCACCTACCTTCACGTACTTAGAAGACAGGAATCAAACACAGAAATAAAGTTAGGACCATGTTCAGGCCTCCTTCAGGCAGATAACTTAGGTGCTATGACCACCTATCTCCACCAGCTGCAGAGACAGCAGGTGCTCTGACTCACTCCTGAAAAGTCATGTCTAAGTTAGGTGCCTGCCATGGGCAGTCTGAACATGGCCTCACAAACTGCCCTCTTGTTCCAAGGCCTTCCAGTTTTACTTTTTTTTTTTTTTTAAACAGAGATTCAGACCCTAGGCTGGAAAGAAATCATGCAAAGCTTGTGCAATATCCCCTAACAGGCATCCTGGGGGAGGGTCACAGTTGATACTCAGAGATCAGTGCTGGCCTTGGCCGTCAGAGCCTGGATCCGAGCAGAGTTGCAGGTCTTGCAAAGGATGTGCCCATCCAGAGGATAACAGCCCTGATTGTCCCCTTCAGACAGAAGGCCACCACAGTCCTAGGACATAAGCAAACAAAGTAAAATAAGCAAAGTAAATAAGTAAGAAGAACAACATTAAGCAAGGAATCTATTAGTCAAAGGAAGTCTCTCCTCACTCTCTACCTTGTAAGAGATCTAGCCTGTGTCAGCGTAAAGCACGAAGCTGAGGTACGTGATGTCTTTCATGATTAAATCACTTCGTGATAAGAAAAAATGCTGCAGAGAAGATGGGTTCCCAAGGTCTCTTCTGAATTTAATACCATTAAAAATAAAAGGAGATTATTCCCTTCACATTGCTGAGGGAGGAAAAGTCTTTAGCATTGGAGAAAACATAAAACTTAAGCACATGTTTATTAATGCAAAAAGGATAAAAAGAAGCATCACTGGGAATGAAGTTCAGTACCAACACCTGACTGCAGGTAATCTCCCCTGGAAGAGTTAATGCCATAAAGCTATAGCTTCTATTCCAGGTGTGACAGCTAAGCAAGCTCCCTACCTGTCTCCCCTGCCAGAAGTGTCACCTGTGTTTGTATCGCAATTGTCCCAAAAGTTGTGGCTGAAAGAAGGATGTCACTGAGACAGGGACATGGAAACCCCACTAAAAGGCCTAAAACCTGCTCCAGAGACCTCAGCCCCTAAGTACATAAGGCTAAGTATAGCTGGAAGGAAAGCTGGGAATTATCCCTCACTGTGTGATCAGGCAACCACTTGACCCAAGACTGCTGACAGTGCTGTGGTGACAGGATTATGGCTTGCTTAGAGGCCATACTTTTTCATCATAAACCTGTGTTTGTAAATTTACCTGGCAAGCAAGTGGTAGAAAGAGGAACAGTATTATTATTCCTTTTGAGATAGCTGAGGCATGTGGAGATCAAGACCAAGTGAGTGTATCCTGTGCTCTCCAGTGCATTTACTTCTGACATTCATTTGCACGAAGCCTAGGTATCTCAGCACCCAGCATAGGCACATGGTGTACCATGAATGAGGCTCTACAAAACTCAGTGTAGGAATGCCCTAGCACCATTAAAAAACTGGGCCTAAGTAATGGGCTGTCACATAGCCAAGGTCAGACTAAGAAGTGAACCAGATGCCTTAAGTTTCACCCTGGACTTTTAAGCCTTGGTCCACCATTCTTTCTAGTTAGTTATTAAAACCTGCAACTGTCATAAGAAATACATTTGGTCTCATTTTCTCAGCCTGCCATCTGGCTGATGTATTATCCAACAAATAATACTTGCATTGAAGAATTCTTGAAGGTTCCCTAACACAGCTGTTCCCACATGTTAATTGCTTGAAGGTGATTTTTATTCTCAGTCTTCAGATTCTTACCATCAAAATTATATGAAGTGTGTAATGAAACTGAACAGGAAAGTAGCACGAAAAGCACTGCACAAAACAAGAATGATCATGTTTATGTGTCCATTAAAATTCTTCAAGCCAGAGCCATATGTTGAGTTTCCTGTACAATCTTGATCAAATTCTAACATGCATTAGCTTTCATTTTAAGAACTTAAACAAGAGCAACTTTTGTGTCCAAGCTATAATTTATGAAGTTCTCCAATATTAAGCCCTAATTACCTGAGTCACATTCTCTTGCTCTCCTAATGAACCTGCTATAAACAAGGGACCTGATTTTCTTCTCATTTGTGCTGATATAAATGAGGAAAAATTCCTTGCATGCTGAAGTCAATGAAGTAATTTGATTGTAGAGCCAGTGTTACAATAGGGTATGCCTGTTGTGTGTATAATATGAGGCAGTGATGAAATTAAGCCAACCTTTGCTTTCTGTCCTTCACGTGATTAGAATACTAACCTCACATCGGTAGCACTGGACATGGAAGTCACGATCCAAGGCAACAATGCGTACAGTCTCCTCTTGTCCTGGGGCTGGCATGATGGGCTCCTTGCACACTGAACACCTCGGTGCAAATTTCCTGAAGAAAGAAGGTAAGTCACAGTCATCCTCAGACTCAGAGCAGAAGTTTTTCTTAACTGCACCCACAAGCCAGAAACATGTGCATTTGTAGAAACACACACACGTGTATAAACATACGTCAGTTTGTAGCTTTGCACAGCTGCCTATTTGGAAAGAAGATAGTAAGGACTCTTCTTAGCCACTTATGCATCCAGTAGCACACTCCTGGCTGTGCTCACCCTCAAACAAGAAGCACCAGGGCAATTCTCACTAGGTGAGTTTTCTAGATAAAACCAACTCTCAGATATCCATTAGTGGGTTGTCCAGGCTTTAAAGAGAGCAGGTCTGGGTGCAGAGACACCAACACTCTCTCTTCCACAGTCAGCGTGAGTCAGAGTTGTATAGTGACACTCATTCACAGTGTGAAGGGACTACCTTGAATTGGGGTCAACTCAGAGATCAATGGGAGCACAGACTTTTCCCCCTTATACTGCCCACCATTTGACCTTCTGTGCAATTCACATATGTTCTGTATTAGCTGTGGTTTCGCTCTCCCCTCGGTTGCCCATGAGAAGTGGTCATCTCTGCTCCTAGGCAGGTGGGGATGCTTGGGAACATTTAGCCTGTGGCGAATTATTATCTTGCTCAAGACCTAAGGGTACCAACCCCTGGCTGCAAATTCTGCTCTCATCACCTACAGAATCTGCTGCCATGTAATGAGTGCTGGGGTCATGGGCTATGGAGCAACAGAGGGTAGTGCTTATGGCAAACATCAGAACACAAGGAGATCAAAGGCTCTTCTCTTGAAATGCCTAGGCAAGATTGACACTGCCACCCAGCCTGTCACATGAACCACCTCAGAATTAACTAGCTTAGAAAAGAAAAAGAAAAAAAAAATCTATCTGTACTAGGAATAAAGAAAAATATTAATTTCCCTGGCAGCAGATGAAAGATGTCTGGGTAGCTGCGATCTAACGAAAAAATGAATTAAACAGTGGCTATAGCGAGCACTCTGAAAAATAACTTAAATGGATATATGACTGGAGCTGTAATCGCAGTTAATTATATGCTGCTTCATGCAGGTGCTTCCTTCTGCAATTTAGCTCAAATACGGTGCTTAAAAATGCTTCAACATTTCTTTGTCCAGGCCACTGCGGGTAATGATGAGCCAAATATTAATTCCCAGGACCCAGAGATGACTCCTGCAGATATCAGGAGATGTGGATGTGCTACTGTGGGGCCTTAGCTCAGCTAAGTGACAGTGTACGCTTCAGCTATAGTTTTGTTATCAAGAGGATGTACAAGATGTACAGCACCCAACCTCCAGACCAGGAGGATGTGTCATTCTTAATTAATTGAAACTGGGCTGGATGAAGTACCACTAAACACGTGGCTGGCCAAAGACATTCTGAGTGTCAGATTAGGTCTTGTGCTATTCCCGTACCTTCCCTCAGTCTTTCACTCAATGATTTTGTGCTCTTTCCTTGGATTGACAGCCTCCTACTTCCCATTCTCAGAGCTCTGAGGTCCACATCCAGTCACTGCCAGAAGACTTCAACTGCTTCCAACCTGCATGTAAGCCTGTGGGACTTGGGGAAGGAGCAGTCTCCCAGTTTTAAGAGGGTGTGAGGGAAATCTTTCAGGAGCCTGAGTGGCATGTAAACCTTCTGTTGGGCCTGTGCTCAGGACCAAATTTTACCTTATACACAACTGCTGGAACAGAAAAGAAGGCAACACAGCAACTGCCAATTAACCCAGCCTTTGTGAGCTATGGGGAACATCCTCATGTTGGATTTTAACATGCCAGTTGATTGTGGCTGCTTCCCTTTCTGTCAAGTCAGCCTGCTTCTTTGAGCTTTCAGGCCCCCACATTGATGTCATAAGGCTCTAATTAAATCTACCCCCTTAGAAATTAAGAGATAAATGGTTGCGATGTAAACTCACATTTGTCAGTATTGATTTCCTTTTTTAATTGAGGGGTGTAATGTGTCTGTCTTTTCCATACAGGGGAAACATTTGTGCTGATTATATCTACCTGTCTTCCCTAGATTAGTCGTGATGATGGGGGTGGTAGCATGGCAGTGACAGAAACTACTTGCAACTATACTGTTCAACTTACTTTAAATAGCAGTTTCACTATAAATTATTGCCAGGGCTGTATTTTTAGCAGCTTAAAAAAGCTAATTATCAACTAGAAAGAAAAGGAGCTGTGAGCATCCTGTGGCCACCTAGATCCCTCTGGCCAGTAAGCAAACACCTGCAGAGTGCAACAGCACAGGACCTCTCTTAATTGCTTGGTGGAAGAGGCAGGAAGACACCGATGTGGAAATGCAGGTACAGGCAGTGAGGAGAAATGTGCACATGCTAAGGGCATGAGATGGCAGGGGGAATGCAGAGCAGTTGAAATGGAGGAACACAGAAGTTATCCAGAAATTTAGACCTTAGCAAAACAGACATCAAGCAGCATCCCTAACCAATTAATCTTGTATGCCATTGGGGGTGCCTGCTTGGAACAAAGCTCTGCCTACTTTAAGAGCCTTGGGATGAAGTGGCAGAGGGTTTAGATCTTTTCGGACACTTGGACTAAAAAAAGGAGGATTTTTAGGGAGAGAAAGACAATAAGCCATACTTATGGAAATCCTCGATGCAGTGGATGTTCCCACCGGCGTCCACGGTGAAGGGAATCCCATCCAGGCTGCGATGGCACATCACGCAGGTGAAGCAGTGGGGATGATAGGCCTTCCCAGTGGCTCGCAGAATCCTTTCCATGATGGGCTTTGCGCAGACGCTGCATCGCTCCAGTGTGTTCTGCAAACAAAATGCACACAGCAGACGTGAACACCATCTAAGCACGACATTTACAAAGGTCAGCTGGAGGTTGCTGCTGGTCTACCTGGAAGCTTTACGTACTTTGTTTTAATTTTTAAATAAGTGCAGTATAGTCAACAAAGAGTATGGTAACACCATGGTGCCTGGGTCAAACCTTAAGAATATTGTGAGAACAGAAACCAGAGCCTTCTCTCAGCAGCTCTAACAACTGAGCAGAGATGGCCCATCAGGTATGTGTATGTAAGCCATTACAGCTTCTGTAGCCAAGAACCTGAAGGAGTTATGCAGCATGCACTCCTGGGTTTTTGCCTCAGGACTGCGCAGTCAGAATGACCTTTTGCAGCTGAGTTGACTAGAGACAACCTCCACAGTGCAAAGCTGCCAAACTCCTGGGGCTATGTGGAGACCCCCTAACTGCTCTGCCAATCCAGCTCCCATAAAGGATCCTTATCTGCCTTGTAAGAAAATCTTGATCTTCCTCTCCCACCACGGAGACTACCGTTGAGTCTGAGGAGAGAATAAAGCAGTGTCTGCAATGAAAGCATCACAAGGACAGGAGTCCAGGATGACCTAAACTGTTCATTTATCTCTGGGCCACTATGTTTCAGATAATGGCTGTGAAATGCCAGCTCTAAGGCCATGATACTTGCTGCACAGGTTTTACACACTGGCCTGCTCCTAGAGTGCTGAAGCCAAAAAACTCCACACCTTTCAAGTGGGATCCACTGAATGATTCATACAATTCCAAGCCTCACTCACCCTTGCAGTTAATTACAGAAACTCCAAGATAATTTTGCTTCAGATGGTTGCCTGTGAGCCACGCCAGCCCTTCTGACACCAGCTGTGCAATCTACCCTTTCAAACAAAGCACCTTAAAGCCACATTAAATGAATGGAGGGTGCAACCCACATAGATGCAAACAATAAATCTGTGGCCATGATTTCAGTCATTTCCCTGGACTTTAGGAAAGCAAACTTCACCTGCTACTCCTGCTTGATGCATCTGAAGTTATCAAATAATGTTATCAACCAGTGCTTGAATCTTTGGTGAGATAGAAAGTCCATGATTACAATATTGATTAAGATAGACAGAAATAAGGAGGGTGGAGGGAAGGGAAGGAAAAAAAATCTAATGGGCCAGAAATATAAAAAGCTGCTGGAAGGCAGCTCATGTTGACAAACACAGGAGGCTAAAGTTCTTCTGCTTCCTCATGCAACAAAATTCCCAGGGAAAGTAGTGATTTGACTGACCGCATTGTTACTGCTTCTTTGAGCCAATATTCTCAGGGGCAAGATCCAGACCTTACATGTGCAGCCAGAATGTATTGTCAGGAGGTGAGTCACCAGGAGGTCGGAGAGGTTACTTCTACACTCGCACATTTGCTATCGGACATTATCTCTAGGCTGCAACTCACTAGTAAGATACAAACATAAAATACATAGGTTCATATCAGAAGATCAAAAGGATTGGTTTTGGAAAGGTCAGTACGAAAAGTCCTAAAATCAACCCATTTAAGAACTGCCTCACAGATTTGGAAAGAGAGCACAGATAGACTAGCATTGGTTTCAGACTGGATTTTGCTTTATGCCTTGTAATAATGGGCAGGAAAGAATTATTGCTGGCCTTTCTGTCTGGTTGCCGTCACCATCATCATCATTATAACAGTAGCTGGTATGCCAGGAAAAGCAAGGTCAATAATTTTCTCCTTGGAGAAATAACCTAGCAAATTTACCATTTTGCTTTGCATAAGCAGATCACATCACCTCAGTCTGCATCCATGCTGTTTTCTATATAGCCAAGGAAGAAACACAGCATACTGGCAGATACTGACAGAAGATGGTGTGAGGCATTTGCTATTGACATCTTCTGAATATGTGTAGGTATGGAGCATTTGCCTCACCAAGTCACCACTTGCTTCATTTCCAACAGTTGCCAACAACAGAGGCCAAACTATGAGAACAGGATAAGCAAAACACAGCAATTCCTGAGGATATGCTTCCAGCCTCCAGCAATTTCTGGCTTAGGGACTTCCTGAGCCAGAACTTGGCTTCTCCATACTTAGCCTCAAGTTAATGTTTCTCCCATGAACTTTCTCAATTGCTTTTTGAATTCTAATAAACATTGAGCACCCTCAACATGGCCATGAGTTTCATGGCTTACCTGCATGTTGGGGGTGATCTGCTAAGCAGGTACCCCCTCCTACTGCAGCCCATGTATAACAGCGCTGCAGACAGTAATGCTGAGTACAGCCTACCTGGTGCCATGAACACAGCAGAGACCTGCAGCTGTAATCTACCCTGCAAAGGATTTGGTACAGCTCCTACTCACACATTTCAGACACACAGTTTAGGACCACAAGGAATCATGACAATCATCTTGTCTGATATCTTGTGTTAACGCTGACTTTGGTGGGAGTTTTGCCATGACCAGGAGAGCAGGTAATCATGCTTCTGGATTATGCCTTCAGAAAACATATGTCTTCTGCTCCCAAATCTCAGCTCAGCTGTACTGTTTGACATTCCTGCAACTGAGACAAGCATTTTAAATTAACCAACTACTGATTAAGCCTTCCATACAACCAGAAAATCAGACCTAAGAAATGTATTCTTTTCATCCTTCTAAGACTGTACCAGTGAAGAAAAACAAAGTCATTAGCTTCAGATTTCAGTTCACTCCCTGTCTGGGAGCATATTTGCTTAAGCCTCTTCCCCTGCTAGAGCCCTGGCTCAGACCCTTCAAGGTGTTACCAGAAGATGCCAAAGGGAAAGCTTCCTTGATTCACACCCATTTGACCTCAGGTTGCTCTAAGGCAGGATTTGGCCTGTGGAGCTAACAGGGTTTTCTTTGATACTCTAATCAGGTCACCCCACATGCCTAAGTGCTGCCCCAGCAGCTAACAATCTGCACAAAGGTATTTCTACACATTATGGGAATAGCATCCCTGTAGGATTATAAGTTTGGCTTCTTGATTTTGCTCTCTTTCACGTTTAGCTAACTCTCCTAGCACCTCCTGGATCTTTCAGACCTCCACAAAGCTGAACAAGATGAAGGAAAAAAACCCGAACAGCCCTATTTTAATTCTGTTCTCCTAAGTGCCACTGCCAGCCCTCTCTGTAATCAACAGGTAGAGCTGAGTGCATCTGATGAGTTACTTAGAGGACCAAAGCAAGGCACAGAGAAGAAAAATAAGAACCAGCTAGAAAACATCAGACTAAGGGGCTATGGTCAAATTCATGTCATAAGAATATGGACCACAAATCCAGCATGGGCACAGGAGAAAGTTCACCATCCCTTTCTCTTAGTTTTGGCTAAGAGGCAGGGAACGCCCTTCTCTTTTGGACACACTTGTATCTCCAAATCCAACTACTTTTTGAGGTTTGAAAAGAATGGGGAAGAAACCATCCATTTCTAAATGGAAGGTAGGCCCAATGATAAAGGCTGTCTGAGCCCCTTTCTCTTGAGGGCAAAACTGATTATCCATGGCAAAGAAAAAGAATCTAGCCTAGGCAGAAAAATACACCCTAATACCAGTAAGAAAAATAACCCCAAGCAAAGACACACTAAAACACAAGCAAATAACTGAAATGACTAGGACATCAAGCATCAGCTTGCAAAGGAGAACTAAGAAACACAAATGTGTACAGCACTAGCAGCAGTAAAGTGGGAACAAGCTGCTTGAGAACAAGTATCTGGCACCAATTTGGTGGTGGGAGTTTTTGAGGACCTCCCTACAGCAATACTTGGCCCTTCAGAAACCACAGAAAGCCAAAGGGAGCTGCTCCGCAGATGTTAGGTTTAAATACAGGCCACAGAGTGAAAATCCAAACTGCTGGGAAAGACTTCTGGGATGCAAGAGCAATTGAAGACTGGAAGTGGGAAGTCTCTGAATCCTCTTCTGTAACTTCACAATGCAGATGGAAAGCTGGCAAATGGCTCTGAGGAGCAAAGCTGCAGTGACAGCCTGCAGGCTGCATCTCATCCTGCCTCCCTAATGCTGCGGATCGTAACTCCTCATAACCAGATTTTAGGTGACAGCAGTAACTCACAATACGGTGCAGCACAAGGACCCTCCCACAACGACCTAGCAATAGTCTCTGCACTGTGCAAAATGGGTGAAAGAAAAATGGTGGCATCTGATACACAGTTTACACAATAAAACAACTAAAGTGGTAGACTTGGCAGTCCTGGGGTAATGGCTGGATTTGATGATCTTAAAGGCCTTTTCCAGCCAAGTTGATTCTATGATTCTATGATTAATGCAGAAGAAAAGCCACACAGAGATTAGTCATTGCTTCTTCTGTCCTGACAATTCATCCAGAGATCTAACGAACATAAATAACCTCTCCTGCACTCTGAGCAGACCAAGCTCATGCATGAGGACATGAGCATGGCATTGCTTATTTTGCTGGGAGAGGGGAGGAAAGCTGCGTGACCAGCAGGTCAAAGGAGGTGATCCTGCCCCTCTACTCTGCTCTCGTGAGACCTCACCTGGAGTATTCTGTGCAGTTCTGGTGTCCTCAACATAAAAAGGACACAGAACTGTTGGAATAAGTCCAGAGAAGGGCCACGAGGATGATCAGGGGACTGGAGCACCTCCTGTTCAGCCTGGAGAAGAGAAGGCTGCATGGAGACTTCATAGCTTGGAGACTTCCAGTATCTGAAGGGGGCCTACAAGGATGCTGGGGTGGGACTCTTCATCAGGGACTGTAGTGATAGGACAAGGGGTAATGGGTTAAAATTTAAACAGGTGAAGTTTAGATTGGATATAAGGAAGAAGTTCTTTCCTGTTAGGGTGGTGAGGCACTGGAATGGGCTGTCCAAGGAAGCTGTGAATGCTCCATCCCTGGCGGTGTTCAAGTCCAGGTTGGACAGAGCCTTGGGTGCCATGGTTTAGTGTGAGATGTCCTTGCCCATGGCAGGGGGGTTGGAACTAGATGATCTTGAGGTCCTTTCCAACCCTAATGATTCTATGATTCTAT